GTTATTTTTTTGTTAATTTAACCAGGTGAGAACTGAAAGAGACCAGGGTAGTCCCATTTTCGAGAGTGACCCGTGTCACCACACATCTCCAATAGTAGCCCTCAGTCAATTATGTAAATGCGAAATACCTTTGACCAAGACCAGTCTCTTCATAGGACAACCATTGTAACAAAGACAATTAATTATTAATTACAGGCACTGCAACAAGACGTTCACGTATTTTTTTTAATTAAATACAGGACCGCTCATCGTCAACATCAACCAAAATTATGCCATTGTTGGCCATTGCTGGATGATTGCCTCCAAAATCCTTCACCATCCTTCTGCATGCGCGGATGTCACAGCTTCGTCTCCTCTGAAGTTTGTGTTCTCATTTGGCTGCCATTCCATCACCAGTCTCAACCGCGTGCTATCAGGTGATGACGTCCTGCTCTATTAAAGACCGGAAGCAGGTGGATTGCTTCACTATTCTGGCAAATCGTCCGATGATGCTGGATGTAATTACGAGCGAAACGTGGTACTCAGATTGTATATGTTGAGAATTTACTCTCCAACACACTGGTGGGCTGAAGTAGTAACTTTGGCGTTTTGTTTACGTGACAAATCCTTTACTAATTGGCTGTCGGGTGGAGGGTTTCCACGTATTTATACTTACGCGATCTAACCCAAAAACCTTTATTATGATTCAAAATACCCTCGAGAGATGATGCATGGATGCTGCTCAAGCAAACTTGAGCAGCATCCATGCAGCGCACGTAACTTCAAAAATTGAAGTTACGTGTGCTGCTGCTTTAATGTGTCACTCGGTAGGGGTTAAACCCTCCCTGCAGATAAGTACAGAAGTGACGTGGCCTGTTTCTGTTGGCAGGAAGCTTTCCGTGCATCGATATACCCAGAACGAAACCAAACTGTCTTGTTGTTTTCCAACTACTCAATCGCTAATTGGCAACTATTCATAAGCCAATTAAAGCATTGATAATCAACAGCATTAACATTTAATTATCACCAGACCTCCCCATGTTGTAAAGCACAGTCTCCAACTCTTATCCACTCTCTCTGGCCTAGATGCTATGAAAGGGTCATTGCCCGAAACGTCGCTAATTATATATTTTTCCTTTTAAGGTCTTAGTGTTATTGACGAATGTGTTTTTATTAAACTAATCTATTACATCGTGTTGCTGTCAGGACTTGGGTGTCTTTAGACCAAATTTAACTTCAAAGCAAAGAACACAAACATAACTGATAATTCTGTCTCTGCGCATAAGTAAAATACAAATTTCAGGACAATATGATCAATCGGCATTTCTTAAACAAACTCTGGACCGGTTTAGATCTTTCTGGGTCTCATTAGCAGAGCCACAAACACGCAGCCGAGCCTCCACAACCAACGCCAATCAATCGGGGAGAAGTGAGAGAGCATCACCTCATTAATACCGAAGCGAGAAAAAGACAGATCGCAACTCGTGTGCCATCGTGAAATTTAAAGAAAACGCCGCAAGACCCCCCCCCCCGGACACCGGGGACCCCGTAGCGAAAGGCCGCATCCCCGACCTCGCCTAGTCAATCGCGCCGACACCCGGCGGCGTACTCCGGGCCGGTCGAGGTTGGGGGTTTTGTGTCCGCACCTGACTCGCTGGCGCTGAGCGCCTTCTCTTTGGAACGACCGAGCCCGAAGAAGTAAATGGCGAAGGCGGCCGCGACCGCGACAGTGGCGAAGGCCACAGCCAAACCCGGGGGCTGCAGTAGCGATAGCTGCTCTCGGGACGCGGCGGTCTCCCCTGCCTCGGCCGCCATAGCGGCTCCACGTGTCACCAGTGCGCATGCGCGGCCCGAGTGTAATCTGGATTACTTTTCGCCCCCCCCCACCCCGCCACCGTTACGTGTAATCTGATTACACGTTAGCCAAGGAGTCCCAGATTGCATGTTAACCGGATAATGTGGAATCCGTTGCGTTGAAACACATCACAAAGGGAGTATGAGCGTGCGTACAGAACGGACAGATTAGCCGTCAATCAGATTACATTGCTTGCCATCTGATTACATTCAAACCGATGACTGTACATGTGAACCACATTGCACGTTAATCATATTGAATGGTAACCATGTCATAGAAATGTATTATATGTTAGCCATATTATATGGAAAACAAATTATATGGTAAACACGTGAAACAAAATACATATTCAATTAAATGCAACGTCAATTTGTGACACGGACAATTCATCATGGGACCTCCTTTGCCAGTACAAAAATGAGAATAGGTTTTCCCCTTTTTTCTGGCAACAAAACAGGTGTTCAGATGTTAAAACACCAAACTGAAACCTTTTACAAGGAATCATGTCTGCATTAACCACAATACTTGTGGTCAGAATGCAAACAAAAACATACTCTGATAATCTATGCATTACATTTTGATTTAAAGCTTTCGTGACTGCAGGGATTCATATTCTTGGTTCTTTCGGTAAAGTCACGTAGAAGGGAAACAATAAAATAATAAAACAAATACCGAAAGAACCAAGAATATGAATCTATGCATTGTCTTTGAGACTGATTGGTCCACACCAGAGACAGCTTTCTTTTAGCCTAGTCTGAAAACGGTGTTAGACCAGAGGAACGCCTTTTGGCGTGTGGACCAATCGGTTTCAAAGACAATTCATATATTATCATCGTATACTCTTTGGTTCTTTCGGTAACGTCACGTAGGTAGAAAAATAAAATTATAAAAATTCTACCTACGTGACTTTACCGAAAGAACTAAAGAGCATGGATTCCTGCAGTCACGAAAGCCTCAAATCAAGATTATCAGAGTATGTTTTTTGTTTGTATTCTGACCACAAGTATTGTGGTTAATGCAGACATGATTCCTTGTAAAAGGTTTCAGTTTGGTGTTTTAACATCTTAACACCTGTTTTGTTTCCAGAAAAAAGGAGGAAACCGTATTCTCACGGACAATCCAGTTTCGTCAATTACCCAAATAGTTTGCAATGGAGATCAGCACAGAACAACATCAAAGTGATCCGTACGGAGGAATAGAAAACATCGGAACAGAACGTGTTGGAAGTACTGTAAAGTACATGCAAAAATAATGTATAAAGATCAACAAGTAACGCATAATTTGGTACATTGCACCATAAACAAGGACGAGGTAATGAATCATAACTTTTTATTTATTTATTTATCCAGGAAAGCCACACTGGTCCAGAGTGTTGCTCGTCTTGAAACAAGTGCAGATGAAATGATGCGCTCACAGAAGGCCCGTGCAGCTGCTGGGGTCGTGTAAGGAATAATTGTATTTATTATGTGGAGCGACGAGTATGTGTGAAGGAAAAAATACTCGAGACGTCTCTCTGCTTTGTCGTTCGTTACATTTGAACTTCAGTCAGACCACTGTCAGTGTTTGCAGGCCACTCGGTGGCGCTGTTTGCTCAGAGAATGTTGAGGTTCCCACCTTTGCGGGCCACGGAACTCTTGCAGATGACGTAAGGGGGGGGGAGGGGCCGTCCATAAATTACGTCACACACCTAGGGGGTGGGGTCAGACATTTGTGACGATGTGTGACGAGGGGTGGGAGGGCGGGGGTTTGAGAAATGTGACGTCACATCAAAATGCGCAACTTTAAATATAGACACGTTCTACTTAATAGACTTTTTAATGTTTTCTCCTACAACATCAGAGTGCAGCGCCACATTAAATAACGCATTACAATGACAATAGTTTAAAGCGATTTGAAGCGTGTTTTATTTGGGGGGGGGGGGCAGAGCTTTGTGACGTCATATTTGAGAGGGGGGGTCAAAAATCGTCCAAAATCGCGTGACGTCATTTATGGACGGCCCTAACGTAACACAAAATAACCGTGAGCAGTCGCTGATATCCTACAAAACGATGCTGGTCGATCTGTACTCTATCGTTTTGCGTCGAACCAGAGCCCGTATCTACCGAAGAGGATCCTTGCCTACAACGTCTGTAAGTTCACCAGCATTGGCTCACGCAGCCTGACCGCTGATGAGACACCTGCGTCATAGTTTGCTTGCGCTGAACCAATGCAGCGAAAGACTCCCAAAGGCCTTTGTGGCCTATGGGATATTACTACGTGGAGTAGTTATTACTACGTGGAGTAGTTATTACGTGGAGGGACATATACGGGAACGAGCGATACCACCTGCTAGTTTATTTCGTGTATTATACTCACCACGACGCCAGTGTCCGTCATATATCAGTCTCACTCCACTGTTGTGATTCACTGTACGTACAGTAACGGGGGAGGGTGAGGGGGGGGGTCTGCTCGCGTCGCCCCAGCAACCGCGTCCGGGGGTCCCCGCCACCCCACCTCAATAACCCCCCGCACCTGCCCCCCGAGGGTGGATTCGCCCATCCTATTGGTGCGTAGCGCCTCACGTGACGCGACAGCTTTATCAACCCGCGCCGCGGCTTTTGATTCGTGAGCTGGCGGACAGCCAATGGGAGGCGAGCTGGTGGTGGGGGGGGGGTTGGAAGGGGGAGCGGTGGTGTAGCGGTTAGCGCTACGAACCTGCCCACCCGAGTTCGATTCCCGTTCACGGCCAACATCAAGTGACGATTATCTGCACCGGTCCTGGGTCTCCACCTAGGTCGACTCAGCCTCAAATGAGTACCTGGTGCGGTGTGTAAAAACATCGCCACTGGGGAGACAAAGGCGGCCGGGCGTGGTGCTGGCCACCCGTGTGCCGTTCTGACCTTCATAGGCGCTCGCTAACAACAGTCTGTTAAGGCTATACGGGGGGGGTGGGAATCTTTGTCTTTGTGGGGGGTGGTTGCCGCGGTGACTGAGCGGCCATCTTACTCAGGGGATGTAAAAAAACACACGGCCGCGTGACGTCACGCGCCACCCGCATTTCCAAACGACGTCGCCCTCCCCCCCCCAACTCTCTCCCTAGGCAAGATGGCGCGGCCGGCATCACAACACGCGCCGTCACCGCGACGCCCACACGTGGGATCGGCCGCACCTGACTCGTGGGAGCATAAAGAGGGGAGGGAGGAAGCAGGGAGAGGAGAGAGGAGGCGGGGAGCTCACGGTTAAGAGGCAATTGGTGTTGAGTCGCTATCGGCGTGGTAGTGTTGCGCCGTGCTGGAGTTTGCGTGGTTCCTGAACATCGTCGCCTCTGTCCGTCTCTCGTGCATTTGCCCGTCGCCACGATGGAGAGGGTGGCGAGCACCATCCGGCATGCTCCCAACAGCCTGCTGAACAGGCGCTCCGTGAACACGATGGAAGCCGATAGGGAGACGTTCGAACGCGTGCAGGTGAGCCGAGCTGTCAAAACGTTACGGCCTTGAACTAAATATCTGAAGTGATCTATTTAAAAAAATATTTAGCTTGCCATCGATTAAAATTACGCTTGAAATGCGAATACTGTATATTGCACGTTAAATAATTAAGACGTGTATGTGTAACGCGCTGCTGAATATCGATTGTAAGCCGTATTACAGGCAGATCAACCTCGTATTCTCATGCTGTGGGTGTACCCCTTGTTGGGTAGATAAGGTGACCTTTTACGCGAATGGTTGAAGGTTTGGTATTGTGTAAAGTTACATGCAACCGGCACCCACGCAGGCAACCACAGAGGACACGTCAGCTGGCGATATGCTAAAGCCGTGGTCGATTTGTGTACGTTACCAAACGCAGCATGCCTGCAAATGTGAATTGCAAGTAGGAAGAAACGTGTTTTTTTAATGGTTTAATATGTGTGTACGTATCGTTGCCGCATCGTGAACAAAATAGAAAATTCCGTCGTTGAAGCGGTGAATAGATAGATATATGCATGCGAGAATTGTATTATTGATGACCGATTCCCAGTTGGAGACCATTGGAAAGCATCACGCATCTCGCTTGTTGGCTCTCACGCTGCCACTAATGAATTTGTTAACGATTCTCAACGCATCTGACGATCTTGAGAATGTGGTGTTGTGTATGTATGTGTGCGCGTGTGCTTTGTGCACGTTATGGCAGTGAACGTAGCCCGTACCAATCCCGGTGACACCAATAAACCACAGCGTAGCTCTCTTTACCACACCGCAGACTAATAGCGGATCTCTTGTTAGGAGTAAGTTGTGCCGTTTAACATCGATTTGACAATCATCGGCCACGATCAATCTACCGTTGTTGGATGCAGGGCCCCTCTGAAGGCGTTGTTGCCATCTCTCACGGGGCATATTTAACCCACCTTAGCACCTGCCTGCGCACGAGCTGATTTCATCGCTCCATCTCCTGGGTTGAAAAGGGGGGGGGGGGGGTCTCGGGGGCCTTTCTCCATTCCTAAATCCTCTTTGGCTTCCACTCCGTCACTCTGAAATTGGGGGTCATTCATTTAGTCCGTAAAGCATGGAATGGGGGAGGTGGAGTTAACCCAAACGCGTTCGCTTGCGTTTGGGGGGGGTCGACTGCCAATGTGCGTACGCATAACGAACGTGGGGGGTGAAGCCTCGATAATAATAATGCAGCCGGACGGTGGATTGTCTGTTCGCTTAAACACGTTACTATTATTCATCCTTGATCGTTTCTGCGTGGATTAAATATCGCCTGTTGTATAGGATTGGTAGGGTGGCGGGGGGGGGGGGGGTCAAATTTTGGCAGATTTTTGCGCACCTACTAAATGTATGGCCCCTTACTGCTGGTCACCACGAGCCATCATCATCATCATCTTCTAGCGGCGTGTCTTGGCCCAATGCCACTCGTTCACACCTTTCACGACAAGTACACCGATGTCTGTTATTTGCCTATATTTTCTAATCCCCGTCGTGTCCCTTTTTTGACTAATAGGTTTGAAATACAATACTCCCATGTATTTACAGTGGCGAATAATTGACAAGGCTGTGAGATATTAACTTCATTGATTTTCACACGGCAGGTTGAACTAAGCTAAACGCGCATGCCTTCCTCTTGTGTAAAGGATTTACTTTCCGTTTTGTGTTTCAGAGTTGACATTGACGCGCCACGTGTTCAGGTGACGAACGGAAATCGTGGATCGGAGGCTGCTAGGTGTAATAAGGCTCAATGTTAAGATGGTCATGGGGTAGTGTTCGGACTGGTTATACATCCGTGGGATGTATACCCAGGCTTACGTTTAAGGGTAATGTTAGGACCAACGTGTTAAGGATTAGGTTTCAAATTAAAGTTGGGACTCGGTTGGGTGTTGTAGGCTTAGGTTTAAGGATACTGGTAGAACCAGGGCTATGTTTAACAGTTTGGGGAACGGTTAGATTTCACAACGGAGGTCTGCAATAGGGTTCGGTGTAAGGGTAATATTACAACCAGGGTTCAGTTGTACAACAAAATACTACCAGCGTTAGCTTTAATGATACAGTGCAATATAATGTAGGCATTTATAGTGTCTAAATGCCACTGCGTAACTCGACGATGACGTGTGTTATGTTTACGTTTACGCCTTTAAAATGTTAGGACTAGGCTTATGGTTGAATAACTTGATTACAACCGCCGCCAGGTTTAACACTCTATAAGGCTCTGGGTTTGGTGTAAGGGTTAGCAGGGCTGGAGCTTATATCTCCAATATTGGAGACATATACGGGCTGTGAATTCAAGGTTGTGGTCCCCCCCCCATTGCTTTAGCATTGCCACGGACTTACAGAGCTGAGTGTGAACACCTGGTTGTTGCGGCGTTGACACTTCTCGTGTATGGCGTGGGGAGTTTATCGGCGATGTTTATAGATTCGTGGCGATGTTGGTGGGTGGACAGCTTCAGCAGGGAGTCTCCTCGCCACGTTGAATTTGTTGGAAAGGCGGCAGTGTTGTTTTCCTCTGCAATCCGTGTGTTTTGAGTTACATAATAGACTCTCACAGAGATGAAACGGCTCGCATAGTCATCAGTTACTAGCACAAACACGCGTGTGACGCCTTAAATTCTGCCGGCGAATGATCAAATCGGGCTGTGGCGTTTACTACTACAATGTGGATGTGCTCCTTGATACAGGATGGCGAGGGAGGCACATCTGCTGTGCGATGTCCTGATGCGCTTCAACGTAACTACCGAATAAACGCATAAGAACAACGTTCCCACGGTTCAAATCGCATGCCAACGTTGGGTTATAGACCGTCGCTTACGGGGTAAGTGGACTTAGTCATCGGCATAGCTTGGGGGGGGGGGTGTGTGGGGGGGAAGGAGTTCCTTGCCCGTGTGAACTGGGAAGTTACCTGTGACTCGTTGTTGGGGCTAAAGCGAAAGCGCCAGGTGAAGTCTCGACCACCAATACTTTTCTGCCGCCGCTGTTAATAATATACCGCAAAGCGCGCCAAGCGGCAGCAAGCAACAGGATTAATAGTCCACCAGCCATCGGTCAACCTCGACCCGAGTTGTCAACACCACCATCGGCGGCAGATGGACCCGTTCCTTTGGGTAAAGTCTTAGTCACAACCGACACTATAGGGCGCAGACCAGGGTTTAGGATTTACAATGAGGGCCTGTCGGGTAGGGCTATGTTAAGGTTAGGATCAGGGTTGAGTTTCGGCCCAGAAGTGCTGTAGGTGAAATGATTAAAGACTATGATTAGGCTAAGGGAACGTTTGGCTGTGTACGGTGCAAAATAGTTCAACATACTTTTAAGGATACAGGTTAGGGTGAAGGATGTACTTAAGGCTAACAACGGCCCAGCCCTAAGGGCTAGGTTATAGAAAACAGTGTTAGGTTTAAGTGGTTAGATTAGGCACAGAAGTTCATTTAAGAAAAAATGTTGAAACCGGGCAGTTAGATTAAGGGCTAGATTAGTACTGTATTACATGGTTAGGTCTCAGGAAGTCCTAGCCAAACTTATAAGGTCTAAGTTAAACTAGGATTACGTTTAAGGGGGCATGTTAGTATCAGAGTGAGGTTTAACTCCTAACCTTAATAGTAAGGTTAGAACCAACGTTAAGTTTAGGGATCGAGGTTAGGACCAGGGGTTAGGTTTAAGGTATATGTTATTATGGTTAGATTTAAGGGTGATCCTTGCCATTCACGGTAAGGTTAGGACCAGGGTTTGGTTTTACAGTAAGGTGAGGCCGAGAGCTGTTGTTGTGGCTCGGGCATGATAATAGCCATGACATTTTCTGTAAGAAGTGGCAAGTTCGGTGAACGTGCAAGCGTCTGTTTGCGCAGACACGTGGTGGAGAGTTTGACGGCCGATCAGGTGCATCGGCCGCCTCGGCAAGGTCATTTTGCCGAGGTCTATTTGCGATTTGAATTTCACAGCGGTCCCCGTGTGTTTGGTTAACAAGGCGGGTGGGTGGCGGGCACCTGCAGAACGACGTTGTGTGCGAAGCATACCTGTCAACCCCATACAGTTTGCCCGTATTCGTCTTGTACAGGGAAATTGAGTGGCGTTGTTTTGATGTCCCGTTCAGTTCAGCTTTGGTGCCAGGAGGCACCTCGAAATCCGCTCACGAGCGCTGTGTCTACACGCTGTGCTGTGCTTTGGTCTCAGCTCCTGCTGTGCCTGGGCCATGCTAAATATATCACTTGGGTCTCACCTGCTCACAGGTGAGGGAGGTGGGGCAGGTTACTTGGAAAATTCGGGATAGAACGGGTAAACTAAGGGGCCGTTCATAAATGACGTCACGCACCTAGGTGGGGGGGGGGTGGGGGTCAGACATTTGTGACGATGTGTGACGAGGGGTGGGGGGGGTTGAGAAATGTGACGTCACATCAAAATGCGCAACTTTAAATAAATATAGACAACACGTTCTACTTAATTCAACAGACTTTTTAATAAATGATTTCTCTTACAACATCAGCGTGCAGCGCCACATTAAATACGCACTACAATGACAATAGTTTAAAGAGATTTGAAGCATGATAATTGTTTTTTTACCCTTTTATCTGGCAACAAAACTGACACCTTTTTTTACAAGGAGTCATGTTTACATATTTATCATATTTTGTTACTGGCAAATGAGTTTTCCAATGGTGTAAATGATTTGAAGCATGTTAAAACAATTTTTTTGGGAGGGAAGGGGACGCACGTTTGACTATACTTCACCACGCCGACCAGTGCCACTTTGTTGAATGCGGGCCGAGTACAGCACCAGTTTAGATGGCATTCGCCCCTGATGTTGGCTGTGGCCTGGAATCAAACTCTGTGCGAGCCATTGCCCTTCCCCCTATGAGTAACACGCATTTGGCTTAAGTATTTGCCTGTAAGGATACATTGCGCCCTTGTCATGAGAATATGGAATTTCCACCACTCAGCGGCCACCAGTGTGGATTGAGCACTAGCCCTGCTGCCTACCTTAATGAATAGTGTTTTGAGGCTGC